AAGCCAAACTTATAGTAGTTTTGAACTTGTAAGACCTTTCAACACCTAAATAAATCATGTTGTACCAGACATAGGCCGCAGACCAAGTGACTTTTGGTGGCACCTCTGACCATAACCACCAAGACAAGTTGCCAAAGATAATAGTCAAAACTAATTCACTTTCTCTTCTGTCTAAGCTTTGTTCCTCCCACCTCCACTAAATGCCCCTAGACTCCCCACGCAAGTTCTTTTCCATGAAGCACTTCATCTTTCTTAAATAAAATGATCTCTTTCAGCTGTTCTGTCCCTCCTACACAGAAATCCCATTCTTTCACAGTTCTTAGCTAGGTGTTTGACACAGAGTCCCTGAAAAATGAATATACAGGGAAGACCTGTAATTGGTCTACATATATGAGACTGAACTGCGCTTACATCTGATTTTCCCTTTTCACTCATCAGAATCCAAATTTCCAACACATCTCTTTCTTGCAAGGGACAGCCTTCACGGCCAAGATTTGAAAGGACGATGTACAAAAAAATTGGGCCAAACTACAAATTTGAAAATAGAAGATTGGTAGAATGTGAGGAGATAAGGAATAATCTACATCTGAGGCTTGTACTCAGTTGTTTCACAAATATTTCTTTGAAGTAAAATAATATGTAAGGGAACAGAAATACACTAGTTCTGCAGGCATGTGATTGACTGAAACTCTACCAGAGAAAGAATAAGAGACAATATGAAATCTATGTTATACCTAGACCAATTTTTTTTCCAGCCAAAATAAATAGTATAAGGTCTATTACTGGTAGGGTCTCCCTCTACCAATAAACTTTATTTTTTCCCACCAACATGGTGACCCGCTATCAGGAATAGATCAGCAAACAGAGAAGCTACTGGCCCTTCTCTAACAGATGAGGAATATCCACCCAACCAACTACAAAGCAGCCTCATTCTTCAAAGGCAAGACAGTGCCAACCAAAGGAGTAAGTGAGGACGACCATAGACTATGAGGAAGTTGTTGGCATTATTTTACCCTATAAACAAAAAATGATGTATCTGCTCTGTCTCTTGAACCAAATTATTTTGTTCAGAGTAGTTTTAGCTGGAATTCCATATTTCACCCATTTTCCTGTAACAATTATTACCGAGCATTTCATTAGGTAGAAAAATAATGAAAGTAGGGGGGCTTTTATTCAATTATGTCATTTCAACTAGAGAACTGTGAAGTGGTGTAGTAAGGTTCAGACTCTAGAAGGTTACTGGGGATTGTCCCTGTGTGCTTGTATTCTAGGGGAAGAAGGGCCATAGCAAAGGGAAGACATTTAAAGATTTAAATCACTGCACTCTCATTAACTTACTCTGTTCTCTGTCATTTGGGAATAAAGTAATACTTAAGACTAAATGCATTAACTAAGTTTTGATTAACTACATCTATCATGATTCCAACATACCATAAGATTGTCCCTCTTCCTATGTATATCAACATATGCTAGGTTTTGGAATATAATAATTGTATGTAAACACATATAATTTAAGGCATATTTAAATTCATCATTCTTGATGGCAAATTCAGTTTTATTAGAAGAAGTGACCAAATTCAAGATCAATCCCATCCTAACATGGAAGATAGTTAATGAATCATCAACTCAGATTAAGTCATTAAAAATCCTTTTACTGAGAACCCACTATATATTGGCTTGTAGTCTTAGCATTTGGTGTGTCATGAATAAAACTGTAAAACAATCTGTCCAATTGTATACTTTATCATTTTGCCAAATTCTCTTAAAGTTTAATTTATTACGTTCTATTTGACCACTAGAATTTAACAAATAATTCACCTAAAACTTTTACATTATACATCCTAAACATACTGTATTAAAACCATGCCATACAAGCAATTTTTGGCTTTTTTAGTTTTTTTAATATAATTAATTAGTCACTTAGAAAACTGGACTCATCTAAGTTGTAAGTATAAAACTATGCTGCTTCTAAAGCCAGGTGTGCTGGCACACTCAGGAGGCTGAGGCAAGAGGATCACTGTGAGTTCAAGACCAGCCTGGACTACATAGTGAGTTCCAGTCTCAACTACACAGTGAAATCTTGTCTCAATGCCCACCCCCAAGAAAACAAAAAAAAAAAAAAAAAGAACCACCAAACTATACTGTTTCCAAAATTCAGTTTGCTAGCACCAAGTATCAAGCTTAGTTTTTAAAACATTTGTAGAAAATGCTTGTATTTGTCTGCTACTAACATTGTTTTGTCTTGAGACAGGGTCTCCCTATGCAGTCCAGGCTGACCTTGAACTCAGTATGGAGCCCAGGCTGGCCTCCTTGTGGTAATCCTCCTGCCTCAACTTCCCAAGTGTAGGATTATAGCCATTTGCCACCATGCCTGACAAGACACTAATTTATTGAGGCTTTCCAAGAGTTTCCTGCTAATTAGCATGAAAACAACTCTAATGTCTACATCACCTTCCACCAGAAGGGCACCATCTACCCAGTTTACATGAACTGGCTTGGGGCCCCTTGCTGCTTACTGACTGTGGCAGCCTCCCCAGAGCTTGTTAGACTAAAGCACCCTACACAGCCCGGGCCTCCTCACTCATAATCTGCAATCTGTGTTGTAACCAGACTGCCAGGTGATTTGTATGCGCATCTCATTTGAATAGCACTGTTTTAAAAATTAACTTTGGTACTAGAATTTATTAAGCACACCTGAAATATTGAGTCCAAAACTGAACATTAGCTGTGAAATATATTTGACACATATTTAAAGGACATTTTGCTAGTTTTCAAATATCCTTCTTGTAAAACTTGTCTTTTAGAATTCATTCATGAGAAACCAGAAACAAAAATGTAGAGTGAACCATAAATGAAGAAGGATGAGCAGAGAGAAATTGTGACAAGAAATAGCCTACTACTTTGCTTAGCTTTGCTATGATTTTTTTTCACTTTCTGCTGTACTCACAAAATCGTTTTTAAGACGTAAAAATAAGCAGGTGCACTAGCAGGAAATATTCTCAAACCTAGATTATCATCTGATATCCAGAATGCTAAATGAGATGTCAGGCAGTTTTGTTTTGTTTTGTTTTGTTTTGTTTTTTTCAATCAGGCAGTTTATAACAAAATCTACACACCTAACCTTCAAGGGCATGAACAATAGTAGTTTTCTACTTGACAAATTAAAAAAAACAATTAAATAGATTAATGATTTCTAGTAGCTTGACCTCTTATATAGGTACTATGAAGCTAAGATAATACTCAGATACAATATTTTCTCCAAAAAGTACTTGTGGAGAAATTCAGTTTTATAATCATAATGGATCCTTTGGTCTACAAATTCCCTGAAGTTGATTATCAAAAGTATTCTTCTTTCTCAGCACTCTGGGAGGCTGAGGCGGAAAGGCTGAATGTTCCAGCTAAACCTGTGCAACTTAGTAACTTAGCTTGACCCTGTCTCAAAGGAAAAAAGGAGCTGGCGATGTATCTCAGTGCAGAGACCTTGAGTTCAATCCCCACTCATGCCCCCCTCCGTGTACCCCTTCTGCAGCACACCTAGAGTCCTTGACTCCTACAACAGGGGAGGCCTACAAAATTGGGAAATGAAAAAGATGAAAAATCATACTGAAAGGAGCTAACATACCATTCCCCTCATATGGGCCAAATATAAATGTATTTGCTCATGTGGACAATTATGCATCAAAGCAAAATAGTGAGATAGCCAAAGTCTGTAAAGAGCCAGCATAGGAATTCCTGTCTTTCATTAACCTTAAAACAACCAAGTAAGAGTTATGAATGGGCAGTTTCCAGAGCATATTTTTCCCCTTATCCTCTGGTGAGTCTTGCCAAAGTGAGCAGAAATTAAACACTATTGTTAATTATTCTTTTCATTAGCCCCTTTTCCCGAAGGAAACTACACTCTTACCAAAATGAAAATCCTGATTTAGAACATGCTTATTCTTCATTATCCCAGGTGGCAGAATTGATTGAACAGCACAAGCATAAAGGTAAGTTAGGATGATTTTCAGCCAACACCTATGACTCCGTAATGTCCTGGGGCCTCAACATGGCTCACCTTGTTTGAGTCCATGACAAGGCCAGTAAAATATCTTGATCTACCAAAAAGATGGTTCTTCAAGACCAAAAAGCAAAATGGCAAAAAGAACTCTTCAAATCTTCTCCGAAGGTGCAGGAAGTTTGAGTGAAGTTGTATCATTCCATGTTTGATGTTAAACATAGCAATATTGCCATGCAAAACAAAGCAACTAAAGACTTGAGCAAAACCTAAACACCCCACCCCAGCCAGGGAAAATGATCTTCACACACAAAAGTTTAGGTTCCACCTCATACATACGTGGAACAGAGAATGGAAACATCAAAGCAGACCCTAGGTCTCCACGGAGACCTGAGAAAAATAACCAATAGCTTCCTGAGATCACAATTAAACCCAAGTCACTTTAAACCAGGAACAGTTGGATCTTCTCTTTCTCATCTGCTTGGTCCTACAATCTTCCCTCTTGTAGAGACGGAATCAGCACCGTCTCATAAGCACTTCTGACAAGAAGCACCTGCCTGTAGGCCCGATCTTGTCACCTGAAGTGCAGCGACCAATGATTGACATCAGCTTCAGCCTTGCTAACGCTCCAGTGTAATCACTTGTCTTTCTCATAGCAGAGTCCACACAGAACAGCAGTTCCTCCGCAGAGAAGTAGTGGTCTGCTGCGGGGGATCAAGGGGGCCGATCCACAAAGGGCACTAGGGATAGAGCGCTGGGAAGGAAACGCCACTCATCTCTTCCTGCTGGTGGCCATAGTGGACACCTCTCCCTTCCCTCCTCATCAGAAGTTACCTTTGTAGCTGCTCTTCCTTAGACACTGGCCATATTCCTTCCTCAAGGTTTGTTTTTTTACTTATCGTCTTCATTTTTCAATCACTAACTTTTGTACTTTGTCCTTTGAAAAGTATTAAAAACTGAGATGGAGGGTAAAATGCAACCATCCTTGGAAATTGTCTGTCCTAGTTCCAAGCTAAGGAGAAATACAGTGACTGGTTCCAAACAAGATCTAAACAAGACAGGTCAGATCATTTAAACGTTTGTGGCAATTTTCTGCTGAAGACTTCCTCTTTCTGCAAGCAATATAGAAAAGGCAAGAGGAAACATTTAAGGAACACGGTAAGGGAAAAGAGAGAGAGGGGCTGAGACAAGTGGAAGAGAAAGGTAAACTTTAAATTCTGGCAAACAGTTGCCACTAGCTAGTTTTAGAAACATCATAAAGCGTTCTGCCCGGTTCACAGCCAACCTGAACTCACCTTTGGTGTATTTTCCCTCCATCAGTCTTGTGGGTCCAGATTGGCTTCTTGTTGACCTAAATTCTAAAGCTGTAAAATAAATGAAGGAGAGATGAGTGATGCCTAGTAGGAATGCTGTTACAGGAGCTCAGAGTGTCACTTACGAGCGTCATAAATAATGAAAGACCAATACATAATATATGGGAAAGAAGAGACACTTCTTATTGTCCCTTCATTTTCCCCTAACATTTTACATCCACAGTGCAAGGCAAACATTGGATAAATATTTATTCAGTGAATGAATGTACGTTCACCGTTTTGCAATTCCTTATTTCCTTCAACTTTTATGTAATGCAAATTATCTGTGTTTACAAAAGCACCTTAAGATAAAATTTGTTACAATTATATTTTGTTGTTAAAACACTTTTAAGCCCCTTTGCTTTTAAGCACAATTTTCCTCAGATCGTGCCCTAATAGTACCATGTAATAGTACCATGTACTCAGAGGTACATGGTACAATCACTTTTATGTAATCAGATCAACAGCATGCTTTTCTTTACAGATAATACCGGATTATATAAGAAGTATGAACTAAAGAGAGAAGCATGTATACAATACTTTAAAGTAGGATTTTGAAATAGCCTTCAATGAATATATATTATATTCTGGTCCTGTGTTTTGTGGATAAAAACATGATCACAGTTTAGGTCCTACCACTTGGGCACAAGTAGAAATGGTTGTTCTGTTGCTTTACTTTTAAGTATTTTGATTAAATATTTATGCACATAAATTTCCTTTTGGAAATACATTTTGCATGAATGGCTTTAAGTTTATGCTCTCCATTTTAAACCATTTACCAGGCAGACATGAAAAGCTTCTGATAAACTGTCACAGTCCCCACGCACCAGTTCAGCAGTGCAGGTGAGAGCACCTGAGCAGTACAGTGCTTCTTCACAAAGTGTCCTCCGATGTAAGTTCTTCAGGAGGAAAGGAAAGTACAGAAAGTACTCAAGACAGACAGCTACATTTGCTGTACGGGGACAAACTGTACCCCCAAGTAGTAGCACTCCTTGGTAAGATCTTCCAAAAGTGAGGAAAAGGCCCAGGAGCCTGATTTGTCCTGCTGGCCCCTTAATCCAGGTGCTTGCTGTTCTTTTCCTGTGCTGTTGAGGCATGAGCACCTGCTGCAGCTTCTGTGCCATTCCAAGGCCTCTTGCACAGTGTTCCACTCCCTCTGGGGGCCTGGCCTGTCACTGAGGCCCTCAGTGCCTCTCCGGCTCTTCCCCCAGGGAAGGGCACACAGAGGATGCAAGTACATGTTCTCCTCTGGGCTCTTCTCCCTTCTCTGGTTCTCTGCCTTCACCGTCTTTTTCTGGGAATGACTGGAAGGAAGCTAAACATCTCTACCCTCCAGTTCCCAAATGTTTTCCCTATTTTTTCTTAAGGTTTTTGGAAGACACTGAAACATTATTTCCTTTTCACAAAGGAAAATGAACGCAAAAGTGTTTAACTGCTTGAAAGAGGGGAGAGAAAATGAGATACTAAAGAAGAAAGTACCTAAAACCATCTAACTTTAAACACCATCAGGCCCTTTTTGCTCCAAGACCAGAGCTAAAAATCAGGACCTGGTTTAATTTTTGCCTTTCCACAACCATCTACAAATTTTGGCATCAGCATCCAATGAGAAACATTCACATCATTGATTCTCAGGCCTACAGAATCCATGGGGTGGAACCTAGAAATCTGTGTTTTGGTTTTTTTCATTTTATTTGGTGCTGGGTATTGAACCCAGGGCCTTGCACATGCTAAGCTAAACACATGCTCTACCTCTAAACTATATCTCAACTCCTAGACGTCTTTTAGCAAACTTCCGGCATTTTTCTTTTCTACCGACTTTGGTCCTCTGACCTCCTTTTGGATATGATCCCTGGAGGTAATTTCCTTTCTCACGTCCTGTCTCCTGTACCATTCATCTTATCCCTAGAGTGGTCATCGCCAGTTAAAGGACCTTTGGAACCCAAATCTGCTGTGTAAAGTTCAGTATCCATTTTTGAAAGGGAAGATTATGCAGAGCCCTGGAGGACGTTCATACGTCTAGTGTTAGTGTTTTGCATCACGTTGTTATCATCCTTTAGTCTCCTGCGCATGTTTTGCGAAGTCTAACCCACCACACATTAGACCGTCCCAATGGCATATCTTCAACCTGTAGCAAGTACAGAAGTGGTTCCCAGAGACCTAAGTGCTGGCTGATTCTCAAGGCAAATCCTCAGTATACATAGGCACCCAAGTTTGCCAAGGTTTGAGTTAGAGAAGAAAGAGCCTAAGAAACCAATATATATTCCCAAAGTAGGTAAGTCACAATTTTTAGATTGCTTGTTTTGATTTGTTTAAATTCTTGTTAAACCCTTCCTCACGTTATCAGGAGGGAACCAGTCACCCCTTTTTATGTGAATTTGGCTAGGTGGGCAATAATATCAGCCCATTTAATTCCAAGGTAAGGTCAGGAGTGCTAAGCTAAGTTAGGTCGCAGGAGGGTTATGTCCTACAGAGCGATGGTGGGCATGTTCACTAAAAACCACTCACATGCAATTGACTGGGAAGACTCACCTCTGGGGATGGTTGTTGATATTGCTGAAGTCGCCTGTTAGTGGCTTGTCATGTATTGTCCTTATGACATCAGAACACTCCTCTGTATTAAATAACAGAGGGTTAGTGAATGGGGGGCACAGACAGGCAGAAGAGCGGGCAGAGAAGTGAGCTTCTTGGAACTAAACAAGTTCCAAGAATTACATCCTTTATTTCAAAAGCTGTTCTCACTTCAGGTTTAGCTATTTTATTTATTTATTTTTTTGGTACCGGGGATCAAACTTAGGACCTTGCAGTCATGAGGTGGGTGGAGGAGCCACTGAGCTAAATCCCCAGGTTAAGTTATAAAGAACATACCTCTTTTCCTTAAAGTTGACTGAGTGGCAGCAGTACCTCTTCCAAGCTGATTGATCTGCCAGTATCATGACTGACACCAACCGTCTGCCGAGAATTCTGTTAAAGCCATACAAATAAAGAAAAAATAAAGAAAATCACTTTCCTGAGCAGAATGTCTCTTTTTTTTTTTTTCCTAAAAGGCAGTACAGAGATGTAGTTAGGAACCAGGAAATTGCAGACTTTATATATTGAAAGAAACTGCCAAGCTCTCTTTTGCTAGCCCAATAGCCAATTTACCTAATTTATTTCTTTAACTCCCCCTGTAAATGCCTGTTCTATTTGGACCTTAGCATACCTGGGAATGGAGCCCCGTGCTCCCTGACAGCTGGTAAATGGTCCCAGACTGTTACAACTGCTTTTCTGAGTGGGAATCGGGAGCAGGACTGCACCTTGGTGAGCTCTAGGGTCTGCCAGGCACCTAGAACTTAAGCCTCAGGAAGCCTTCCTCAAGTTTTTACAGTGTGTGCCCTTTGCCGAAAAGATGTTCTATTGCTGAGCATGGTGACTCTGGGAGGCTGAGGCAGGAGGATTGTAGTTGGAACCTAGCCTTGGTGACACTGTGACCCTCAGAAAAAGGGGCTGAGGATGTAGCTCCATGGAAAGGGTTGGTTTCTTTCTTTTCCCCTCTGGTATGGGGATTTGACCCAGCACATTGCACATTTTAGGTATGGGTTCTCCCACCCAGCTACATCTTCACTCCTTTTTACCTTTATTTTGAGAAGACCTTGCTAAATTCCCCAGGCTGGGATTAAACTTGCAATCCTCCCTCCTCCTCAACCTCCAAAGTAGCTGGGATTACAGTACGTACCACCTAGCATCTGAGGCTGGGACTAGTGTTGTTTTACATATTTCTACACTAGACAAAAGAACCTGTTGTTTGGGGTGGTTTGTTCAGCTGGGAAATTTTTCCATTTTGTTTTTTAAACAAATTTTGAAGCAAAGCATTTATTGGTACATTTTAGATTTAAACAACGATGACATTCATCACAGGGAATCTTTCCCCATCCCCCCTTGCAACCTACCCTCATTTACAAAAGCTTTGTTTCCATTTTTTCCTTCTATTTTCTGTTTTGTTTCTTGTCCCTTCTTTCCTCTTCTTCTTCCCCTTCCCTTGTTCCCCTTCTCATTTTAATTTTTTTCTTCCCATTTACCAATATCTATTACACATTTTAGTCCTTATTTCCACTTTGGGTTTCTCACACCAGAGAAACAATGTGGTACAATTTATTTTGCTTAGGAGAATGGTCTCAGGGTGCAACCATTGAACTGTAAATGTCTCAAAAGTTCATCCTTCTTTATAGCAGAATAGTACTCCACTGTATAAAAATACCACATCTTCTTTATCCATTTTTCAGTTGATGGGCTGTTTCTAAGATTAAGCTATCACAAACTGTGCCACTATAAATATGGGTATGCATGTATCACTGTGGTAGGATGCTTTTAATTCTTTCGAGAAGATACCAAGAAAAGGAATAGCTGGGCCAAATAGAACCTCCAATTTCATTTTGGTACTGGGGATAGAACTCGGGACCTTGCACTTGCAAGGCAGGCGTCTGCACCACTGGCGCCAAAACCCCAGCCCTATTGAACCTCCAGTTTTAGTTCTTTGAGGAATTGCCACACAGATTTCCACAGTGGTTGCCCCAGTCTACACTTCCACCAACAGTGGAAAAGGGTTCCTTTTTCCCCACAGCCCTTCCAGCATTTGTTGTCAGGTGGTTTCTTCCTACTTTTTTTTTTCTTTCCAGTATCAGGGATCCAATACAGGACCTTGCACTTGTAAGACAGGAGTGGTGCCACTGAGCTAAATCCCCAGCCCTTTGAAAACAGCCATTCTCTCTGGAATGAGATAGAATCTCAGTGTTGTTTTAATTTGCATCTCTCAAAAGATGAGTGACATTAAACATTTTTTCATGTATTTATTTACTATTTGTACTTCATTTCTTCATCTGAGAAGTAATCTATTCATTTCAGATGCCATTTTTGTTTTCTGGTTTTTGTTTGTTTGTTCTTTATACCAAGGATTATATATACCAAGGATTATATATACCAAGGAACTCAGAACCTTGTGCTTGTAAGGCAGGCATGGTGCCAATGAGCTAAATCCCTGGCCCCAGATATCCATTTTTGGATTAAGGAAGTAAAAGATCTCTACACTGAAAACTATAATACTCTGAAAAAGGAGATTTAAGAATATATTGGAAAATGGAAAGATATCCTTTGTTCTTGGGTAGGAAGAACTAAGATAGTGAAAATGGCCTTACTTCCAAAATTGTTATACAGATTTAATGCCATCCTGATCAAAATTCCAACAGCATATCTCACAGAACTAGAGAAAACAATCCTAACATTCATTTGGGACCAGAAGAGACCTAGAATAGCAAAGGCATTCCTGGGCAAGGTCGGGGGGCATCAAAATCCCTTACTTGAAATTATACTACAAAGTAACTGTGATAAAAAGATAGCAAGTACTGGCAAAGCAACAACAACCCAAACCAGACCTGAGGATCAATGGAACAGACTAGAGGATACAAAAACAACTCCGGACACAGTCACTTTATCTTTGACAAAGGGGTCAAATGTCTTCACTGGAAGAAAGATAGCCTCTTTAATAAATGGTGCTGGAAAAACTGGCTTTCCACATGCCAAAGATTAAAATCAGACCCATATCTTCCACCATGAACTAAACTAAAATCAAAATGGATCAAAGATGTAAATATTAAAACAAACATTTAATCTGCTAGAAGATAGAACAGGTAGAACTCTCAGACATAGGTGTAGGCAAAGGCTTTATGAACACATCCCCATTCACAAAGGAGCCCTCGCAAAGAATCAAAAACTGGGATCTCATCTTATTAAAAAGCTTTTGCACAGGAAGAGAAACCACCAACAGAGTGAAAAGACAACCAACAGTGTGGGAAAATTTTTTTATGCACTTCAAGGAAGAGCGCTTATAGTGGCAATTGATCGTGAGATACTAACAGTCTGTGTAAAAAACAAAAGTGATTTAAGTTACACATGTATTTTTACCTAGCATCAAAAACAACAGAGGGAAATTCCTTAAACTAGTGGATGGGAACAGATTAATAGCTTCCTATGGTCTCTGACCTTCTGGAACATCTCTGTTTCAAACTTTACATTGCCACAGTTAATTTTTCCTTGTGAGCCTCCATTAATCTGTACACTGGGGGTCACATACTTCAAATTCTTGCTCTGTGTGATAATGCTACCAGTTGTTTGCCATTGGCTTTCAAGCTTTCCAGGGTTCTGATGGAGGTGACATGTAGCAAGTCAATTGCTCTGGTTAAACATGGCAGGTTAATCATACAATTTTGTATCCTATCCACTGCTAAACTTATATGTGACAGCAATGGAGATAAAAGTATTAAACAACTAGGAGAAAATAAAGAAACAAAAGACCATAGTGAACAAAAGATTTTAGTACAATTTTGGGAGAGAAACTCATTTAGTAGGCAGAGGACCTGACACCCTAAAGACAGGAGACAGAATATCTGGGAAAATATGAAGAGAACTCAGAAGGTACCTAGTACTGTGGAAAGCTGGAGAGGGTGCGTGGCTGAAAGCAAGTTGGATTTTGTGTCTGGGCATACACTATTGAGTCCTAGTTCTCCTCTCCTACCCCAAGCAGCCTGCCAGGAGGGGACCCTATCTCTCACCTTCATAAAAGTCATGGGTTCATTCTCCAGAGAACTGGGAATTCCAGAGGTCTCATCCAGTGTATTCATTTGTACAGCAAGTAGATAGAAATAAGTGAATTGGAACATAGGGTAAGACATAGCCCCTTCCCTGCTCTTCACCTAGAACATCACAAGTCCTACACTTACGTCCCCCTACCTTCAAGCTACAATGTTCTTTGGATTTAAAAAAAAAAAAAAAAGATCCTTAGGGGGAAATAGAGAAGGCTCTTTCCACATATTGTGGGTATGGGTTTATTTGGATTTGTTTCAACCTTTTTATTTGTTTGTTCTGTTTTCCCTTTTTTCATCTGCTTTTTCTTGCCTTTTAACATGTCACTGGTCAACCTCCCCCCCCCACTTCTTTTGTTGCTGTTTTTTTTGAGACACAGTCTCAGTATGTCATTCAGACAGGTCCTGAACTTACTATGTGGTCCAGCTGGCCTCGAACTTATGGTGTTCCCCCTTGCCTCATTCTCCTGAGTTCTGGGTTTTGGGCACATGCCACCATGCCACCACACCTGGCCTGGAAACTATATTTTCTTTTCTTTCGTCTTCATTTTTTTTAGTGATTACTTTAAATTTTAACATGAATTATCTAAAATTGATCTGTATCCCCCTCTAAGTCAATAGAATTACTGTAGAGTATTTCTACTCCAATCAATCCTGTTGACAATTTGTATTTCATTAAATTTTTTGTTTTGTTTTGGTACCAGGGATTGAACTCGTGACCTTGTGCTTGCAAGGCAGGCGATGGAACCACTGAGCTAAATCCCTGGCTCATTTAACTTTCATTACTCCCACATGGGCTTTTTGTTTGTTTGTTTTGTTTTTTATTTTTGATACCAGGGATCGAACTTGGACCTTGTGCTTACGAGGCAGGCAGTGGAACCACTGGGCTAAATCCCAGGCCCTTGCACAGGTTCTGTTGATGCTCATTTAGATTTATTCACATATTGACCAATTTCTTTGCTTACCACTCTTACTCTTTCTT